TTTAAATAATATTTTTAATATTTTAGTAATTAATTTTAAAAAATATAATATTTTAGTAATTTACTATAATTATATACGTTAAACGTAAATAATATATTTATTTTTTAATTATCTTTACGTTTTTTAGCTAGATTATATTATTATTATTATACTTTTTACTAATATTATCTTTAATATTATCTTTACTAGTATTAATTTTAATTATATACTTAATTATCTCTTTAAATATATAGTTAATATTATTTTTAATATTATTAGAGTTATTCTTATTATTATTCTTATTAGTATTTTTATTAGTATTTTTATTACTACTAGTATTCTTTTTATTATTATTTTTATTAATATTTTTATTATTAGTAGTATTTTTTTCTTTACTAATATTATTATTTACTTAATAGTTTTTTATTACTATTATTAACGTATAAAATATATTTAATTTTATATTTAAAACTATTATATAGATAATATTACTATAAATAAATTAAATAGTTATTAATAATAAATTACTTTATATTACTACTTATTATAGTTAATATAATAATAAAAATAATATATTAGTTATTGTGCGGACGGTGCACCCGTTTCCGGAAGTGGACACTACCATTGCGGGCAATGCGTCCCCACTTGCCCATCCCTGCCGGTGCCAAGACCCCATCACCACCTCGACACATAAAAGGCCGCTTTCCCTCGCCGTTTTAACCATCCCGCCCGTCTTCTCCTTTCTCTTGCAGCATCCGAGCCGTCCTGCATCCCGCACTATCACGCCACGCAATGAGGCATTTTCCCTCTTCCGCTATCTACATCCTTGTTGTGCGCGCTGCGCCGCTCGATAGTCCATTCCTACCGAGCTGGTGCAGCCCCATCACTGCAACCTTCTACCTCACGAGGCTTGCGACTTTCGATATTGACGCGATTCCGTGCAAGATCATTGGCGTAGTATCAGCTGGTGTGTCCCAACGCTCTCTGTTACGCTGTCTCTGATCGAAGGTCGCCGTAATAACTCTTAGCCAGGCCTATCAAGAACCACTTCACGACGGCTGCTCCAACATAACCCCGTCGGCCCTGCCGCCAGCATTCTGGAGATTGGCCCACGCTGGGAGGTGTCCTACAGCCAACCTATCCGTGTCGCCTCCGACCCTGGGCATCCCCGTGCATTAGTGTTGCGAAGTGTGCGCCTCTTGATCGCCGCCCGCTCCAACGGCCAGACGCAGCCCAATTTGGTCATCACAATGCCGTATCAATAGTATGCTCCGGTGGCTTCTTCTGGGCCTCCGCTCAGGCAGCCGCACTTTAGAGAGTCTTCCAGTTTTGGTCGAGGCAAGCGTGAATGAATCATTCCCACTCTGTTGCGGGCGAATAGCATCGCATCAACATGGTAAGCTTTTACAGCCCTCTCTCATTTAGAACACTTAGAGTTTCCACCGTAGGGATCTCATGCTGCATGAAACCTATAGCTTATCTGCTACCGCCTAGAGGCTACCAATGTTACATTGCAGCGTTGTAATATCGACACCTATCAGTGCTTCTTGGGATGAACGGCTGAGGGCAGCTAAACTAATCCTCCCTCCAGGATCTATGCCTCACTTTCACTAGTCCATCACCAAATCAACCGGAAAATCGACCCACGAAACACCATGTGACACCACTGCAGCCCCCTGCAGAATCCTAATCGGGGTCGCTTCTCTGGAAATGGCTGTTAGCGGCTATTGATTTGTTGCACGCAATATCACGCCTTCCTGCGATCGGGGTTAGTATTGAGCTCATAGCCTATAGGATCGGTCCACGTATGCTAGCTTCTGCCGTCATCCCACAGCTACCTCATCCTACCAGGCGGTACGGAAGGCAACTAGGCCATCCGCTGCGTCTGAAAGGGAAAAAGTGACGGAAGAGAATGAGGGCCCAGCCTACCATGTCACAGAGAGATTTAATAGTTCTTGCATGAAGGCAGAGCCTATATAAACCTGGAGTGCTCCTGGTTTCGCTGGGAGCAGCAGCCTACGACAAACCACAAGCTCAGCTAACACCTCTTTCTCCACGAAACAATGACAAATTTGTACAGTTCTTTTACCATGACGCCCCAGATAACACGTCCGCTCAAATTTATGCATTATAGTGGACCCAAATCAACCGACAAGTCAACTCCATCTTCGCATGCAGAAGAAAACTGCGGCGCTAATTTCCCATCGAGTGAGAGTCTGGTGACAAGTGCTCCTGTCCTAGCAAACACAGACACAGCTAAGCCGCCTCTTGAACTCCAAGGTATGTTTCTTAATATTAAATTTCATGCAAGCACGCCGCTTACACGACTCCTAGTCTTAATGGATCTGTGCGAGCCGGAAGAAGGGAGCTTGACAAACTTTCTCGATCAGCAGCAAGCACCAGTGAAAGTCATTCAGGAAGAGAAAGTTCAGGGTACGGTGGCCGAAGCTTGTTTCGACTTTAACAAAGAAGCGTCTTAATCAGTCGTGGCTAATCACATCTGAATATGCAGGTGTTCGGGAATCTCCTTCGGTGGCGAAGCCAACTTCGCCAAAGATAAATTCGCCGCAAGCTTCATCAGAGACAGGAGACTCTTCTCTCGACGATTTAATCATGGATCCACACGAGTCTCGCGAGCCTACTCCATCACACATTTCCGGCAAGAGGAAATGCAGCGTGTTCAGTCAAACAGAGTCCGATATGGACATGTCAGATTGTGGATCTAGACAGCCTGCCTTGTATCAACGGCATGGCAAGCGAAGTGGACAGTCGCCTCAATTGGACGAGAGCGAGTTCACCTGCAAGCCAATCCCCGAGAGCAATCGCGGCAATTCAATGTGTGTAGCGGGCACCGCTGAAGCACAGACGGATCACGTTAGGAGTGACGACAGTTTTTTGTCCCAAGAGCCCACACCGTGTTCTTACCTCGAACGTACACCCCCCCTAAGAGAAAGAGATGAATGTGAATCCGCACACACTCTACGGGATACCATTTCACGCTACGGACGAGTCGATGGTTTACAACATACGCGGCCACATCAACGCAACCCAATCCCGCGGTTAGAGCCCTACCAAAAACGTTCCTCAAGGACCATGCCTCGCCAGAGAGGTCATACGTCGACATGCAATCCACCTCCAATAAAAGCCGAGGCATGGTCTAGACGTTTCGCACGTAAACAATCTACCTCGCGAGACTCCATGATCTCAAGGGCCCGAGATATCCCATCTGTGCAGCCGCATTTAGCTGGGTTGCACGTCGGGCAAGCCGGTTCGCAAGAAATCACTATCCAGCCTATATCTTCGGAGCTCTCGTATTTTGTTGCTGTCCTGCCCAGTTTTGCGGGTGTGCAGGCTCTTCTCCAAGCTGATCCTCGATTGTCTGGTGGTTTGGAGAAGGTCATTGTCAAACAGCTACAACCGACAATGTGGCTTCTTACGGGGGCCTTGAGGAGCTCTTACAACGGAAGCCTCGTAGATGCGCCTCCGGACGCCGATTACGATGACTCTTCCGATCGAGGAAGTCAGAGTATGAGCAGTGACGAAGCCATGTCAGAAGACGAGTCTGGAGATGAGTCTGGAGAGCAATTTTCGGCGAAAAATCAGCGCTGGTCTTCAGAAGACGATGATCTTCTTTGCGGTTGGGTTGAAGCTGGGAAGCCATGGCGGTGGATAATCTCTCGATTCCCCATGCGAACGCCTGGATCTGTTCGAACTCGGTATTCGGTGTTGCGGCGTAAGTCTAGCCGGGCATGCAGCATTACACGCTGAAACACCCTCGGTTCCTCATTTTTGTTGATTTAAATCATCGCAGCTTTTTATCATTACACCTGGTGTCTGCCGTTTGCTCTTCGATTCTTTGTTCCATATCAAGCCTTTCTTCGCACGTCTAATCTCTTCAATCATAGCTTAATTAAGCTTTCATTCGAAGACTTTTCTATGAGAAAAATTGATTGACTCATTCGGTCTCACCTCAGTCTGTTTCATTTTTGTAGGCTCGGGTAGAAATCAAGTAAGTGTTATGTATCTCAGACCATAAATATAATCTATAGCAATATTTCTACATCGTAGAGTGTCAGGGCGCAAAAATATGTAGTTAGCAACGAAAGTTTAGTCAATCAACTGGCCGTTTATGCACCATAACCCAAGCCTAAGCATATACGCATATCAGACCACGATTTTTTTCCTAATTTGGGATGATGTCGACTGTAACCCTCTCGTGTTGGACGTTATTTGTTATTGATTGGCTAGGAACATCAATTTCACGAAGTATCTATTGGATGATGGGTAGGTATCAGTTTACCACCGCAGATATCCAGATTCCTCGCATAGGTTCCTGCTTGGCCATATGTTCCAAGACATTCTTTTATATGCCTTACACGATTTCTTAGCCATTATTTACTTAGGTATGATACTGATTCCTTCCTCTAGATTTCTTAAGTCTTAGCATTCTATTTTCTTTTAGATCTGTGTTTTCTCGGTTTATTACACTTAAATCTCTACAAAGCAATTCACTTGATAGCACTTAGAAAGGTAGTTATAGAATTCTTATAACTGTACTAATTAATAAGATACAGCATACGAAAACAAGAAAATAGGTTCTCTCTTCCAACCTGTCTTTCTCTGACTCCGCGTAGTCTAGTACTAACAGACCTTACTGTCAAGGCTCAACCTTAGGATGATTACTAAAAGGTTTATTGCGCTACGTACGTTAAGCTAGAACGTAAAATACAACAAATGATGAAGAAGTCGAAGAACACTATTTAGAGACAGCTGAATCGCCAAGCTCCCATCCCTCCTCTTGAGGGTCGAGTGAGAGAAGAAATACACGCCCAGAAGGAAGGCCTACAGCAATTGAGTTGCCACAAGACGCAAAACTGCTTGGAGAGGAGTCTAAGGGAAGGAGAACGACCTTCCGTCGAGAAGATGTTAGCCAAAGGTCCTGTACGGATAGAGACCCTACGATAGAAGACGACGGAGTTAAAGCAGAAGGATAAGTGACATCGACCAGGTCTCCGGTTTCGACGTTCCAGGCTTTGACTGTCCCGTTATAAAATCTAGCGAAGACCACTCCTCCGTCGGGCGAGAATGCCACCGCTCGAACGTAGTCCGAATGGCCTTCGAGCGTGGTGCGCAGCTGGCCCGTCTTCGCATCCCACAGCTTGACCGTGTTGTCGTCGGATCCAGACGCCACCACTCCTCCGTCGGGAGAGAATGCCACCGCTTCAACGGAGCGAGAATGGCCTTTAAGTACTTGAATTACCGGGCTCCACTCTTCCTCCACTTGGGGCGCGCCTACGATCCACTGCGGGATCTCCTTCGAGAACCGTTGTCTGACAATACTCTGGCGCGGTGCAAACAGTAGTGCCGAGATGTACGTCTGGAGCGGCGCCTCTTCGATTACCGACCGAAACGCGAGCGTAAACCGGTGTGCGTCGTACAGAAACCGCTTAAGATTATAGTCTGACTATATTATCTTAGATTAGTATAGTCCGTCTTGCTGTATATATTTAGCACACTTACTCCACAGAGTGACTGTAGATCGGTAAGAGTGTGGACCGCCTCGTGCACCTTGCCCACGAGGCTGAGAGCCTCGAGCCAGTGTAGAAAGTGATGGCAGAGAAAGTCGTAGATTGACGCAGTGTCAAGTGCGTCAGGACTGTGTTGGAGATGCTTGACCCAGTACCGACAAGCGTACTTGAGGTGGCCCGGGATGTGCTCGTTGATTCGGGCCGGGTTGACAGAGCTAGCATGAGTGCCAGGGTCTTGCAGGCAACAGATGTCCTTCTGCAGGGTCCGAGACATGACGTCGATGCAGTTCCTAGCGAGGAGCTGGTGGGCGTCCTTTTCGTTGACGTGGAATCGTGTGTCGGTGCACCTGGTGCCGTCGAGGAGGAAGTCCCGGAAAGATGTGTGCAGAATCTTGACGCTATCGCGGCTCTCCATCGATAGGTTCGGAGAATCGAGCACGGATTTAGTATTGTTTAAGAAAGCTTGAACCTGCCTAAACTCCGCATCAAGCAACTTAGCCAGCCCATAGGGGGAAAGAGGTTTGGCTGAGACTGCAATAGCAGCTAAAACTCTCTGGAACGCTCCTTGTAATTTGGAATATCCTTTGATCATGGTCAAACGCTGCAAAATGGTTGTGTACATCCGGTCCAGATTCTGCTCCGGCGATTCGTCAATGATGTGATCCGCTCGGAGGATTATCTCAAGACCCTCTTGCGCATTCCAGTAGGTTTCAACAAATCGACATGTAGTTGCAGCGTAGATGAAGAGCCCTTCAGCCTTGCGAGCGAGACAACTAACTTGTTTTTCACCTGGCCAAGTAGGAGGGAGTCCTTGACTTTTCCGTATGTCGTTGAACCTTTCACGAATAAAGACTGTGATATCGCGTTCAACGACGGATTCTTCGATGTTGTGCAGGACAAAATCTTGAAATCCTTTGATCCTGTTGAAGCCTCTCTGGACGTAAGTCTCTGGTCTACTTGTAAAAAGGACTCGAAAAGCGATGGGCGAAACTTCTTGGATCTGTGAGAGAAGTCGGATTATCTCGGGAACGTCTTCGTCGTCGCTACACTCGTCTAGAGCATCTATAACGAGTAGATACGGCTTCGCAGCTCTATCCAGATGCGTGAGACTGCGGAGGGGCGCGAGAATAAGCCTTTGCCATTGGTCTCTCGGAGCCTGCTCGGCGATTTGTTTGTTCTTCTCGACTGCTTTCTGAACGTGCTGTTTGAGACCGGGTACAACATCCATCATCTGGCGCACTAAGGTTGTGAAGAACTTGGCAGTGCTAGAAAGGTCTGTTCTGCTCTTGGAGAAGAAGAAGCTTGCAGCAAGCTTCTCTTCTGCATTGTAGTGGGCTGCGACTGTACGAGCAATAGTGGATTTCCCTGTACCAGCCATGCCGACCAACCAGTAGATGTGTTTCTCGCTCACATACCACCTGTGAATGTTCTCCAAAAGCTGGACTCTTGTTTTAGGGTGGCAGAAGGCATCGTGACGGCGGCTGTGTGAGTTGTACGTAGCGCCTTCAGCATATGGAAGGTAGTCGAGATGGTTTAACTCTGATTAGCACACGGAGGATGTTAGTAATAGACAATCCAGCGTATTCGCCGATCAAGTTGCACCGACCTGGTTGGGCACCGGAATAATTGTTGTTCGTGATAGTGCCCCGGTTCAATCCTACTTGACTCCCGTAGTTGTTTTTCGCTGAAAATTCCGACATTACTCGTGTTCACAGCCTCACCGTTGAATTTGGCAAAGGCTGCTTGGACCGTGTGGCATCTTTGGCATTATTGATCCATACACTGGTCCTAAATAATCCACAGACGGAGCAAATCCGACCTGCGGCGCTTCTGCAATGCGCAATCGGGAGATGCGTGCAGGGGTAAGCGAGAGGCTGCGTGAGCACAGTGGGCCTTGATGTGGCGCGATGTGATTCGCCTCGGCCAGATGCATGCACGGTCTGTGTAGGATTAGTACAAGCGACCGGCAACTCGACAATGCTGCTTGTTCCATTGGTCACCCAACATATAGCGTGGCTGCGCACATGAACACCGTACTTATGAGCTGAGAGCTGAACCAAGGAGCATTTTCCTATGTGGGCTAAGTATCGGCAAGGCTCAGTCTCCATCTTACGCGGGTCATACATGGAATATATGGCGAAAGCACAACAATAGCATATCTTCGGGGCCATTTTGATATGGTAGAAGTCAACTGCATCATAGCTAGCTTTGGAAAGAGCATGCATATGAAGGCGGGAAACAAGATGGTGGGAATGAACGAAAAGATCACCCATAACGTCTTTCGAAGGACCTAACGCTGAGACGGTATGGAGGACGTACTTTGATATCTCCTCACTTCCAGTGGTTATTAGTCGTGTTTCCTGTCCCGAAACTAAGACCGTGCATTCCGCCGTAGTTTTTCCCAAGTTGAAGTCCATAGTTATTCTGCGCCGAAAAGGAAACACCACCGCTGTCCTTCTCCAGCGCTTCCTCCACAGCAACACTGAGCCACGGGTCATATCCCTGGGCAATCTCTTGAAGCGTCTTGAAGTGGATTTTTCCGATGCTTTCGCATTCCTCGTTGCTGAGTTCTTGTAGTTTGCTCTTAGCTTCTTCGGGTGGAAAGAGGCGCTCAAGGTCTTCGACAAGTCCAGAAATGCCGTCGAGTAATCTCTGGAGTTGGTCCTTTTTGTAAATGGACCACTGGATGCCGTGCGCAGCATTGGAAATCTGGGACCGTCGTTTCCTGAGGCAGTCGCGCAGTTTCAGGCGGAGGCTCTTCATGAGGGGGGGCATGTCCTTTTCGGGATCCATCACATCCTCCTCCGTGCTGGTCTGTGGCCTTATCTTCTCCGAGTCGTGCCTGGCTTGTTCATACAGAATTTGGATGTTTCTGAGAAGCTCGTCTACCTTGTCGCAAGACTCGATCGGTATCAGTCTGGATGTTGTTCGTGCAGTCCCGCTCGTCGTGGATTGAGCATCTTGTGCTGCCTGGATGATCCCAGCTGCTTCCCCCCAGCGCGATAAGCGGACTTGAATGATGTCAAGCTTCAGCTGATGGGTGGCAAAATCCTGGTCAAAGGATCGTGCAAGCTGTATACGTTCGAAGCAGTCTAGAGCTGCATTGAAGAGGCTGATAGTGCTGGTAGCGATGTCCATTGCGAGCAGTTCGGCAGAGAGAGGATTGTGGTCGATAATTTTGCTTTTAGCAGAGGGGGGCTGATAATGGAGGGGTCAGGCACTAAGCGCCGGGCACTACGCGCCGGGCCGGAAGTGCGGCACGCTCAGCTGACCCACTTTAGGCTGCGACGCTTTACTCACCAAGATATGCAGACTGAGCCAGAAGAAGCAAAGCGTAAGCAAGCAGATCTCGGGTGTCGAGAAAGTGGATGAGTGATCATTGGCTGGCACGACTTGAGCTTGCATTTGTCCCTGTTCAAGCGGCTGCCTCAAATGCAAGCCGCACACGCGCTAGAGAGCCGGTCTTCAGCCCCCAGAATCCCTGCTGGGTTGAATTGGAGGGTCCTTCGGGCACTTACATAACGCTATTCTTGACCTGCACGATTCCTGCAACGCGGGAATCCAAGCAACGCTGACCGGTTTTTCTACGGCGGATTTTCGCAACAAAGAAATCTCTGCGCAGTCCCTCCAAACCTAATATGACAAGTTTTTCGGCAGATCAGAACAATGGCCTCCAACAAGGCTCTAATTATGGTCAGATGACCAATAACTTCTTCACTTCTGGGAGCGGTTCGTGAGCCTTGGTAGTCTATTGTCTTGTCGACAGATGCACAAACCGCTAATACATTTATTAGACGAATGGCTACCTTACGCTGTCGGTGCTGCGTACAATGATCACCTTCGTCGACATGATTCTTTATGTCTCAAAGGAACGCGCGTTCGTTTGCTCGAGGAGATCAGAGAATGGTGTGAAAAATCCCAAACAACGCACATGTACTGGCTCTGTGGCATGGCAGGCACCGGAAAATCCACCATAGCCCGCACAATCGCTCGAGATTTGGACGAATCCGGCCAACTAGGAGGAAGCTTTTTCTTCTCCAGAGGTGATGGCGACCGCGCTCATACCACCAAACTCATTACGAGCCTTGCACGGCAGCTTGTAACGCTGTTTCCAGCCCTTCATCCGCACATCCGAAACTCGTTTATTGGGAACCGTGATATCGTACGGCGAGCTCCTAGTGACCAATGGAGAGATCTCATCCTCAGGCCTCTCTCTTGTCTCGATGGCAGTGATGTGGCATCTAAGCCTATACTATTCGTGTTAGACGCTCTGGATGAGTGCGACCGGGAAGAAGATGTCCATCAAGTCCTACAAATTTTCAGTACGGCAAGGCCTCTCGGCAGGACTCGTCTGCTCTTTATTATAACCAGTCGACCCGAAGTCGCCGATCACCACAAATTGCGGAACGAGGCTGGTGTGTTCCAGAACTTCACACTCAACAATATCGAAAAATCACTCGTCAACCGGGACATTCGACTTTTTTTTGAAGAGGAGCTACAGAAGATCAGAGCCAGCAGTCATCGTCTCCCCCGTGATTGGCCTGGGACGAAACGACTTGACGCCTTGGTGCAAGCTGCTTCTGGTTTGTTCATTTGGGCTGCCACGGTTTGTCGCTTCATCAAAGACGGAAAGCGCTTCGCAGATGACCGCCTCAAGTCTGCAATCCAGACCCATATAGACCATCGGAAGCTGGATGACATATATCACGCAGTTTTGAAGTCATCTATTCCAAGCACATACAACGAGCTAGAGGCACAGACAATATGTGAACTCTTTCGACAGACTGTCGGTTCGATCGTCAGCGTATTCGAAACTCTGGACCTGATATCGTTGGCGGAATTAGTCAATGAACCAATTGAAGAGGTTCATGACACTCTTCAAGACCTGAAGTCGGTCATTGATGTTCCCGAGTCGAGAGCCTCAAGTATACGAACATTACACCCATCTTTCCGGGACTTCCTCCTCGACGGCACCAGGTGCACCGACACACGATTCCACGTCAACGAAAAGGACGCCCACCAGCTCCTCGCTAGGAACTGCATCGACGTCATGTCTCGGACCCTGCAGAAGGACATCTGTTGCCTGCAAGACCCTGGCACTCATGCTAGCTCTGTCAACCCGGCCCGAATCAACGAGCACATCCCGGGCCACCTCAAGTACGCTTGTCGGTACTGGGTCAAGCATCTCCAACACAGTCCTGACGCACTTGACACTGCGTCAATCTACGACTTTCTCTGCCATCACTTTCTACACTGGCTCGAGGCTCTCAGCCTTGTGGGCAAGGTGCACGAGGCGGTCCATATTCTAACCGACCTACAGTCGCTCTGTGGAGTAAGTGTGCTAAATATATACAGCAAGACGGACTATACTAATCTAAGATAATATAGTCAGACTATAATCTTAAGCGGTTCCTGTACGACGCATACCGATTTACGCTGGCGTTTCGGTCGGTAATCGAAGAGGCGCCGCTCCAGACGTACATCTCAGCACTGTTGTTCGCACCGCGCCAGAGCATTGTCAGACAACAGTTCTCGAAGGAGATCCCGCAGTGGGTCGTGGGCGAGCCCCAAGTAGAAGAAGAGTGGAGCCCGGTAATCCAAGTACTTAAAGGCCATTCGGACTGGGTTCAAGCGGTGGCATTCTCTCCCGACGGAGTAGTGGCGTCTGGATCTTTAGACAACACGGTCAAGCTGTGGGATGCGAAGACGGGCCAGCTGCGCACTACGCTCGAAGGCCATTCGAGCTCCGTTCAAGCGGTGGCATTCTCGCCCAACGGAGAAGTGGTAGCGTCTGGATCTAAGGATAACACAGTTAAGCTGTGGGATGCGAAGACGGGCCAGCTGCACACTACGCTCGAAGGCCATTCGAGCTACGTTTATGCGGTGGCGTTCTCGCCCGACGGAGGAGTGGTGGCGTCTGGATCTTTAGACGAGACGGTCAAGCTGTGGGATGCGAAGACGGGCCAGCTGCGTACTACGCTCGAAGGCCATTTAAGCTCTATTGAAGCGGTGGCATTCTCGCCCGATGGAGATATAGTAGCGTTTGGATCTGCGGATGAGACGATTAAGCTGTGGGATGCGAAGACGGGCCTGGTACGTACCACGCTTAAAGGCCATTCAAGCCCCGTTACAGCGGTGGCATTCTCGTCCGACGGAGGAATGGTGGCATCTGGATCTGAGGATAAGACGGTAAGGCTGTGGAATACGAAGACGGGTCAGGTGCACAACACGCTCGAAGGCCATTCAGACTGGGTTCAAGCGGTGGCATTCTCTCCCGACGGAGGAGTGGTAGTGTCTGGATCTTGGGATAAGATGGTTAAGCTATGGGATACGAAGACAGGACAGGTGCGCACCACGCTTGAAGGCCATTCGGACTGGGTTCAAGCGTTAGCATTCTCGCCCGACGGAGGAGTTGTGGTGTCTGGATCTAAGGACAACACAGTCAAGCTGTGGGATGCGAAGACGGGCCAGCTACGTACCACGCTCGAAGGCCATTCGAGCTACGTTGGAGCGGTGGCATTCTCGCCCGACGGAGGAGTGGTGGCGTCTGGATCTTTAGACAAGACGGTCAAGCTGTGGGATGCGAAGACGGGCCAGCTGCGCATCACGTTCGAAGACCATTCAAGCTGCGTTACTGCGGTGGCATTCTCGCCCGACGGAGGAGTGGTGGCGTCTGGATCTTTAGACAAGACGGTCAAGCTGTGGGATGCGAAGACGGGCCAGCTGCGCACCACGCTCGAAGGCCATTCAGACTCCGTTTATGCGGTAGCATTCTCGCCCGACGGAGGAGTTGTGGTGTCTGGATCTAAGGACAACACAGTCAAGCTGTGGGATGCGAAGACGGGCCAGCTACGTACCACGCTCGAAGGCCATTCGAGCTACGTTGAAGCGGTGGCATTCTCGCCCGACGGAGTGGTGGCGTCTGGATCTTGGGACAAGACGGTCAAGCTGTGGGATGCGAAGACGGGCCAGCTGCGCACTACGCTCGAAGGCCATTTAGACCAGGTTAAAGCGGTGGCATTCTCGCCTAACGGAGTCGTCTTCGCTAGGTCTCGTGACGGGACAGACCAAGCCTGGAACGTAGAAACCGGAGATCTGGTCGACATTACTTACCATTCTGCTTTAACTCCGTCTTCTTCTATTATAAGATCTCTATCCGTCCAGGACTTTTGGCTGACATCATCTGGACGGAAGGTCATTCTTCTTCCTTCAGACTCTTCTCTAGGCGATTTTACGTCTTATAGCAACTCGATTGCCGTGGGCTTTCGTTCTGGGCGTGTTCTTCTTTTCTCACTCAACCCGCAAGAGAAAGGATGGGGGCTTGGCGATTCAGCTCTCTGTTACTAGGGTCTTGTTTTTTCGACTTCTTTGTTAATCGAGCTTTGAGTTAGACCAATTGGTCTTAGGCTAAACAGGTTTAGATAAGGAGAGGTCAGAAGAAAGACTTAACATTCTTTTGTTTCTATATGCTGTTATATGAGCCTTAAGACGGGAACCAGTTTTCAGTTGCTGATGGCTTCTCTTAAGTCGTTCTTCTAGACAATGAGTGGCAATATCTGATAGAATACATGGGTCGCTTAAAACATCGCCGTCAGCCTAGAAGTGCATGTTGACCAGCTTTATCACCTCTATCTATAGTAGAAGCGTCAATCACTTTACTCTTTAAGAGTATCAGAGGAGTCGAAGCAAGTTGTCTTAACCCTCACTTTACAAGTCTCTTGCGACTAACTAGATAAAAAGATTTTGATGGGGCTCTATCATACGAGCCTCGAAATGGGAACCCCTCCGCGAAGTTGATGATGGATTTCTGGTCATTCTTCTAACTAACGAGTGGCGTTGGCTATAGACATTCACACTATAACCGAAGCAAACAGAAAGCATGTCCAAATCAGGCACCAAGGCATTAATCAGCCAACGATTGGGCTCATGTTCCATCAGTGACCAAATTACATAGCGCAACTGGCAGGCTCAAATGACTATTGTAGAGGCCACATTATATGCCAATTTTCTTTCTTATGAATGACGAGAAAGCAAACAAGCTAGTCGTTGACCGAGATCACCATCTACAAAGTCAGTCACCTCTGTAGCGGGCTAGGGCAAACGCCAAGGCGAACGGGAGAAGAATGGCTTGCAACTACAAAGCTTAGCGGCACTACTGAGCATGTTTGTGAAGGTCCGGGAAATCATGCATGTTGAGAATAGTCTTCTTTACAATAGCCTTGACCTCGGGCTTCTGCTCGTCAGAAATACCGCGGACCTTGGGAATTCCCCATTGTTCCCGGATGCGATAGTAGGCGCAAGTAAGCCCACTTGTCGTTCGCTCCTGCTCGGGGTACGTCGGTGGCATGCCATCTCCTTGGTGACGTCGCTTCTGGCCAGCAGGAAAGCGCTCGCGAAACTCTTTCTCGATCTCCTTCCAGGCCATACCGCGCAAGATGGTGCAGACCATGATGAATGCACGCTCTTCCTCACCATATGCATGGCGAGGCTCGCGACAAGTATTGGTATGGCCGTTCCTGGATGAGCCACTTGCAGAGCTCTGGTGGTTTGTAGGAGGCGAGTCGTGGTTCGAAGTGTCCATTGACTCGCTTTCAGTGTAGCTAGTACTCCCGGTGGTGCCTTGACGCGCGTAGTTGGATGTCGAATTGGTCGAGGTCCATGACGAGTGCTGGGCAGAGACGTTGTCACATGCGTCAAAATAATGGGCCTGGACATGGTTGCCATGAGCAGAAGACGATGAGTGGTTGGAATCTGCACTATGACCGTAGTGGATATAGCTAGCTGAGCTGAACAAGTTCTGGCTGGCTCTATGAGAGGCTGAGCGGCTGCCTGGCGCAATGAAGTCGAGGGACATTCTCTCAAGACCGCGAAAGTGTGGACTCTGCACAGCAGCACTCGAATGGTCATTGGTGGAGGGGCTGATGGAGTTGTTGAAGCTGCTCTTTGATGGCGGGGTGGATGAACCTTCGTTGAGGACGTTCAAGAGATTACTCATGACGGATGAACCGATGCGATGGCAAACAAAGCTTAGCAAAATGTAAGTAGTTCAGTGGAAAAAGAACTTTGCATAAAGTCTGATGCATGTGTTTGAGCTGAGCCTTCGTCGAGTAAAGAGGTGGATGGAGAAGTCGGGGGCTGGTAGCGTGCTTAGCATTCATCCGTGCAGCTCTTAAACTACCTGCCAAGCATCACTTCTTACAAACTTACAAATCGTTAGGTCTGATCAACTCGGACTGTTGACTCTGCGTCGCCAATGCAAACCGGTAAACTCCGCAAGAAAAGCAGATGTGTTGTCATCTGGCATTTGCTTCTGCAGCCATCCGGTGACCAACGCCTCCACTAACAGTGACCCCCGTCGGAGATGCTGTGCCTCCAAAGATGCGTTTGGCAGAGATATCAGTGCTCTTGAGCTTTCAGGCAATAAACCCTATCCTCGGGCGAATCTCATCGTATCTTGCAGGGATGTAGATTACATGAATCTGCCCGTTGAGCTGGCTGTATTTCCAGGTTCAGCCTCACCGCTTCAGCAGGCGAGTCTGCAGAAGCACGTACTGAAGATACTAAGAAGCTAGATGGACTTTTTGGCTAGTGTGTACCGGTGGCGAGTTCAGAGAAGCAATGAAATTAGTGGACAAGGATGCAATATTGGTCACATGAACGGCAAGCCGCATTCTAGGGATTCCAACACTCCGGTCAGTGCCGGAATCGAGAAGCACCGAGGGCAGCTGCACCTGGCCGCTGTAAGGTTACGCCGACACATCCGTTTTGGACAGTAGAGGAAGCGGTCATAACGCTTAGACGTGTGACACGCTGGAAGGCGGCGGGAGATGAAAGAGTGTAGTACAAAATGAGCGGTGGTTTGGTGTGGGGCATCGAGGTGCAGTCTTCTAAATGCACACACCGCATCCAGGTGGCACAAACAGTAATGAAGTGACGGAGAAGGATCAGCAGTTGCCGGCTCGCGGCAGCCCGTTTCGACCGGCTCAGCATGTTCTGGGTTGGCTGGTCTATGTGCGATCGATGAGCGGATGATCCCTCTGGAATTGCTTTCATTAACTACTATCATGCCATTCAACCTAAGTGAGTATAGCCAGATTTCGGCAGGTGATGACGAACCTGCATTCTAAGCGCGGTACAGATGCTGGTGTTACGCATCAGCAGCCACAACAGAGTACTGCAGCCGAATGCTAGCGTAACGATTACAGGTATCACGGACAGGGTATATGTTTGTGACACGATAGGTTCAGGTTGCATTACTCCACAGACAAACATTGCACGGCAGTATTCGGCGGCGGTGTTCTACTGCATGGAGCAGGGACAAGGATCTGTACGCTGGACCATGCAGGCATACGTTGTGTTTCCTGAATGTCTAGTGTGGCGGCTCGCAGACGCAAAGAGTAGTCTGCGACGGTGGAGCAAGCCGGAGAAGCTGACGCTGGAATCTGGAGGGCAGGGATATTCACTGCGGCGATACGAGGATGTATGATACGGTGTTACACAACATGCGCCGTGCCTCTTCCGCAGCGCTGCATCAATCGAGCTAACGAAACTCCAAAGCTTAGTGGAGAGAGCCTACCGTTATACCCCTAACCGAGTATGTGCATCGCCTGATTAGATGGTGGTTACATTTGGTTCGATTCGTTTTCTCTTTGAGTGTTGGTAGTGTGTTTTCTACCTGTTGCTTGTGTTCGCAACCATGCTCCTAAAAATACGTTGCCACCTCAGTCCTGGGCGTAAGACATGGAGTGGGTGCCCGTCACTTGGGGTCAAATGTGCTCCGAGTTGAAAGTTGTCTAGGGCTGCGTATTTCGCGATCCGTATCGGGCTCGGTGTCGGATACTGGGTCGACCAGCACTGCTGTGAAGATCCTGTTTTCATTGGAGATGTGCTTTCCCGAGTGTTGTAGAATATTCGGCCAGAGTATCTCCGGGATTTCGAAGCTCTTTCCCTTGGACTCACATAGGATACTCTCCAGCTTCCACTGCGTGACCTGAGTGTTGCGCCATTCGTGTACAAGTTCGCGGACGTTTAGGTTGCGGGCTATTGTGCGGTTGCCATAAAATACGTAACTGGGACTTCGGGAGGGCGTCTGATTGCATGAAAGAGCTGATGGTTTCTTTGTAGTTGCAGTCTGGGAACGGAAAACGTTGGCATTCTTTGAACGTTCTGTGTACTTATCAGCAGATACTCAATGCTACGTACAGAATGTAATTACTTACTGGAAATCCGACCATTTTGTTTTATAGCAGACATGGCCACTCTTGGCTTCGATTCCACCACAGCATTGGCTTCGTGCGGCAGGATCGAATTGCGCCGCCCACCGCTCTCGTTAGCCTTGCGCCAATGGTTGGCATTCATTTTAGTAGCGACCTGGGCTGTAGATCATCTAGCCGTCAGTGACGATCAGTAAAGCGCCTTTGATGGCTCACCCACCAAAAGAACGTGGAATGTCCTTGGAGTCAGTAGTCTCAGGTGCCGTGTAGAAGGAATCCGAAGAGATGTTGTCGTTCATCCCAGGGTTTTGGGAGTTGCGGCCATTCGCGAAAGCGGCTAAAGCTTCCATCGTAAAACCAAACAGTGATGGTTGGATAGATTGAGATAGAAGCTTTGGAGGAAACTGGTCAGGGAAAGCGATAATTGTGGTCAGATGCGATTTATAGCTCAATCCAGCCCGTTGAGCTTAAACGGGCCTTAGAAGGATTCTCTATGTGGCCATAGGCTATTCAGGACTCATTCCGCAGCCACCAATTGAGTTGTCTTATTTCACCCTAGTCTTCATAGTACTAGTTGTGGCAATGTGGGTCCGACGTGGAGGGAGAGCTCGATATAATTGGAAGGGCAAGTAATTTTAAGCATTAACGTAGGGTAGGGGCAATATACATACTTGGTTGGTTCGCTTCCGATGCTGGAATCGCCGATCTGTCTGCCTATAAGCGGGCTAGTGCCCTACCCCTTGTCAGTAATATCAGGCCATCCTCATTGTTTCGTGCTAGCATGCCAAAATTATGCGAACCTGCAGAAATCCAGTGGGCACCTAAGTGCGTCGGCCAGCTTGATAAGTGAGCCTCATCCGTGGACCCCACCCACATCTCTCCTATCCACTTACACATTGGCTACTCCATCTACTAGCAGCATGTCATCCACAGTTGTGCTATCACAATTAAGAGGGCTTACGGAAAAAGCGGAAAAATTAAAGGGTAAACTCGACAAAATCTCTCCGACTGACGACCAATGGAATTCTCTCATCGACTCCAGCCTCCATCTCGCAAACGCTGCGTCGCAGCTTCAAGAGAAGATGGAGACCTTGAGAAATTCTCGTACGAAACGGGCGTGGAAGGAAAGCGAGAAACACAGATCCCAGGCACGCTCCCTAAGCGGTGAACTTTTCACGACTGGAAGGTTGAAACAGTCGGCCGTTTTTCGGAGAAACATCGTCGTCATTTTCGAAGGCCCAAAAACCTCTACGTTTGATTCAGATGATGCGAAGGTTAGAAAGGAATCTACACGCAAAAGATGCGATGTGATTCGTAACCTAAGCCCTGACGGAATAGTCTCATGGGCAATCGCGTACGCTCCGACCCTATGGGCTGGGGGTGCAATGGCATCGGATGTGTTCGACTGCCTTACCAGCGATATTGAGCCTGATGTCGTCCAGACGTGGCCAACTGTGATACGAGAGACGTTGCACAAACTCAAGGATGACGAGGCCTATCTGCGCTCGTCTCTTGAGTATGGCAAGTTTCTTCAAGGTTAGTCCTTTCTAGCTATATTCATTGGACACGAATAGATTAACGGATAAGCTAGCTATCGATAATCCGCCAAGTCGAGAGCAGGGCTTAGAATGCCGTAGAAAACGTAGGCGTGTAGAAGATAGCTGCGCGACAACCCACGAAATCAATCAGCCTCAGCAGCTCGCATGTGCAGACGAGACGCATACTCAGCCAACGAACATTCACCAATCCCCGCGTATCCAGGGCGCCTATAAATTACTTGGTATTTTTCATCCTCACACCCTACCTTTGTTTTTTTTTAACAATTTTTTTTGTAGAACGATCTATTTCAGTAGACCCGCCTGCGCAATTTCGTCCAGCAGACCACCAATCCGTCGTTAACTTTAAGTTTACTGAGCTTCTTAGTTTCCTTCGGCGATATCAAGATCACACCCCAAACTTGTGCATGGTATGCTCATGGGGTGGAGAGCCATTGCCATTCATTGATATCACATTGGGTTCAGCTCGTGCGAGAATGGAGTTTTCTATCCAACTGAGCGAAGCGTTGATGCGACATGTACTCAATGGGTAACGGTGCGAAAGAATCGCACTGAAGGATTTCCAAATAATCTACTAGTTTCATCATTTTTTACGAGAACCACAACATAGCCTTCCTCTTCACTCGGACCAGTGAGCACAATCCTTGTCGGGTTCCCGTAGACATAAACAGCCCCATGACTACACTTCTTTCGAATGAAGATAGCTCGGACAGATGGGTCTACTGGCTCGAGATCTGTTCCAACTCTTTCTGGGTCGGCTATTAGAGCCTCTCCACACTAAACAATATTCAGCAAGATTATGCTATGGTCATCCTGGGCAACGCAGTCCACTTACCAATTCTGCAGCCTTTTCTTTCAGTTTCTGGTCATCGTTCGCAATATCATCAACTGAAACAATATCCGGCCCGTCTTTCGTTATGGAATCCATGTGCGGGTGTAGGAAGGTAGGAGGAGCAGGAAGAAAGTACTGCGGCGGGCGACTATCGGCTTAGATAAGGAAGGTGTGTTCTACTGATATTAGTAGCTGCTAAAGCCATACTGTATCTACGGTTGATATTGGAATGCGGGTGGAGATTCGCAGACCTGGTGGTTCAAAACCTGCGAGGTAGTATTAAGGGATTACTAATAGGTAAGGATCGCGGAAAAGTAGGGAATGAAGAAAAACCGTAGTACCTTTACCTCTCTAGAGTAAATTAGGAGTCTGAGCGATGAGCGTTATGATGGCTGGTGGTCCTGCTAAACGCGAAAAGATTTTGGAGGGCAATGGCCCTGCCCCGCTTCTGACGTAACTTCGCTTGAAGCTCGGAGAAACTGATCCCTAATTAGCCTATGCGATTCCGGTTAGTGGGGGAGCGATTTCCTTTCTCGAAGTTCTGCAAGCCTGCATAAATTAACGGAGCGCCAAATTTCTAGCCAAAGCTTCTACCAGAGATATAACCGTTTGCGGAGACGCACTGCCGTCGCCATATACTTAATCCGATTATTGCCAATTAGGATCCTTTATCCAAAGTGTTTGGCCAGATGGGGAAACCACATGAATTCATTCGATATCGGAGGCTGCTACTTCATTCTTCAAGTTGATCCGACAACTCCCCTGCAATGCTTACCATAGAGTTGCAGATGATGCAGCTTCGTAATCTACTGGTAATGCCCGTGCACTGCTCTGAGGCTGGTAAAGGAGGTATATATAAAAACCATAGCTCTACATCAGTGCTCGAGCAAACCGACTACTACCATCAAAGCCAGATAGTACAAGCATTCTTCTACTTCCTCAAGTTTAAAGCAGACCTTCAGATGAATCCTTCTGTCTCTTCAAGAGTTCTCCACCTCGAGAATGGAAGGATCGATGTACAGAACGGTATGCCATCATATACTTCTTATCGACTCGATCTGACCTACCTACAGATGAGGATAACGCTTCTTCCTGGTTATCTAGTGAAGCATCGACGTCAACTGACTTAGATGGCTCCGGATTGCCGTCTACGAAAGGTAACACATCAATCCAGGACCACAACGATGAAAATAAGCGTGTTTCATCACCTGATACAATAGCTAACAGCTACCCGTTACACAGTCAATACCAACGCCTCTACACCTACCATGCAGCATGATTCGAGGCATCCAGCCCAGACAGTTAGAGTCGTGGCAGATGGCAGTAAGAACGATACTCCATCCCAGATCGGCGCGACCACCCACCGGAACTTCTCCATACGCGATATTCGAGGTAAACACATCAATCATGTGAGCGTAGTTTCCGTTCTTACATTACCACAGGCTGCATTACCTCCTTGAGCCACCACTCCGACTCCAGCATGGGAACTCCGGGACGGAAACTCGCAGCAGTACCCCCACGCCGCTGTCCGGTGTCCATGAGGCAGGACTCACCACACCCTCTAGGGTTTCGATATCCTGGGATGGTGTCTGGTATAGAGTTCGGCATTGTTGAAGGCAGTCTTCGGTACAGGAAGAAGGTTACATACAGGCCTGTAACCGTGGAACAAGATGGGCTTGTGGAAATCCTCAGCTCCAGAGATCGGCACCTTATTCGCGAGATCTCCTATATGGGCGAGAAGCTCCCTGATTGTCTCGAACGCTGGATCATTGAGGAGCAAGCAGTGCTTTTTGGAACATTTCAAATTGAGTGGGATGGCTCTTGGTCTGAGTGGCTTCCTCATGCCGAGGATGGTGACTTTCAGGCGCTGTTGGACAATTACAACGAGCTGAACCTTGGAGGACATGGCGAACAAATTGCAGATGGTGAGATAACTGAGATAGAGTACAGTTAGGTGTTCATATCTTTGCAAAAGTATGGGTTTCTTCTGTTTCTTCTGCTCTATGCTTGATATTGTGCGTATTCTGTAGATGGTGTTGTTACAGTCTGGCATACACAGAATGAGTAAGCATTCGAAATTACTGTAATGCAGAAGATAGGCTTGCGGGATGGGTGCCCAGGGAAGGGATATCACAGTCTCAATGGTTAACAACGATCAGGGCAAAATCAGCGTGAGGACTGTTGCTACAGAGACCCTGTACTTACTGCCAACGAGCTCTTGCACAATTGGAAAGTATTTTTTAGAGGTTTGCATGACTATGGATGATTATCACATGAGCGGCTGTTCGATTCCGATCGCGTTACACTAAACGAAAATTTGCACGCAGATCAACGAAGCAGTGAAACGTTCTGCATACCACCTATTACTTAGGTATTGATGACCTATATATAGCTGTCGATCGGATTGTCATCGCTTAGAACCTGCTCCCCCATTCCTGCGCCCAGGTCCATTCTCTCCATCCCACCCGAGCCTTTGTCAGTTACACCAGACTATGAGCCATACCGGTAGCGAATATCGAAGATTTCCCTGTATCTACTGGGATACATATCATTGTCGGTCTTTTGTCTGGCAGAACGGTGATGCATGTGGATCATGCTTAGTAGGATAACCTGCGTATTTGCCGGAACAAAATAGATAACTGACAAACCCTTTAGTCTTCTGGTCGGCCATCGAAGCGCGAGTGATATAAGGGAACATATCCAATAATATGTCGAATTTCGAAGTGAAGTTGGGGAAAAGATTGAAAGCCGCGGTGTTGGTGTCATAGGAATTAAGCCGCTAGGGTGAAGGCGCGGGACGAGCTCGCCAGCCTAGATGCATTCAAGGCGGACGATAACAGGGATCATGATGGGCTAACGATATGTACAACTCGATATGTCCCTTAAGAACAGCCGGACCGGCGGGCATCGATGACTTGCACGTGCGAGATGAAGACGGCGATGCCATACGCAGCGCGTAGGTTAGGCGACGATGGGTTAGCGGCCACGTCGCTCGCAGGCAACCAGATGATAAAACCGTAATAAAACTATATTGGGCCTAGATGTAACTGATTGCGGACTAGCGTGTTACTCACGTGACTTTGAGCGGGGTGCACTTAAGAAACGGAGCGCCCGTTAGCCCGAGCCTTCTTTCTTTCCACAAATTTCATTTCTCCGATTCGAGGTTCGCCTAAGCAACGTAACGATTTCATTCTGCTTTCTATGCATACCGCCGCTCTCCAATAAATCTTACGCATTTCTTCCATCAAAAGCAAATGTACGTATACTAATTTTAAGTATCGCCGTCAGTTGTTTTCGAGCACAAGGTAGTTCTTCCGGGCGACACACATTTCTGCTACCCTCTCACACGGAACGCACGCTTTGAATACCCTCCCACACGGAACGCATTTCGAGAATGCCCTCCCGGGGAACGTTGGATAAGCGCTGCCCTCCCGGAGAACGTAGCTATGGACTGTTTCTCGTTACGGACCGAGCTACACTTTGCCCTCTTCGTTTTTTCCAATTTGAGTCAAGGCTACTCTCAAATAGCTATCAAGTAGCTATCTTTGCAAAAGCCTGGGCGGGCGGGATTCTTGCGCTTACCGTGCAAGGGCTATTATTTAGCAAATACAATGGTTGATTCTGATTGATAGATCTGAGCGTGCTGTATCATGGAACATCGCCCATGTGTGGTGGACTCCAACAATCTGGTGGGGGGTCACACACGCCGAGTTCTGGCCAAATGGCGCGATCCGCACACGGACCAGAACCGGTTCCTTGGACGACTTGACGAGAAAGACCCAAGCAGAGGCGATCTTTTTCTACGTCTTGGCTTTGACGGCAAGAAGCTGTTAATCTGCTTCTACCTACCATTGCGCGTCCATGTAAAAGCCACCGGAACACGAGACGTCTACTTTATCATTCCTGCCGAGTGCCTTAACACAATTTCCACTTCAGTTGCTACTGCCAAGGATGACCAAGACGCTTCTGAACTTCAGAAAGCTGGTATCGATGCATCATCCAAGATACTTCACATGTCGCTCGCACTCAAAGAGCAGGGCTACGTTGTTATGCCCTCCCGTCCGCCTCAGACGCCGGTCAGTGTAGTCATTCAAAGTCTGCTGCTATGCTTCCGATCGCTTTCACGTGCCAAGGCGCTTAAGATCACTATACCGTACTCAGAGTCTGCGGAACAGCTGTTAAACGCATGCTCCAAAGCGTTGCATGAAGGCCTCGAAACACCAACCATCGATTACAAGAAGACGTACAGTGGGCGCGAATGGGTCCGAGACGACTGGACAGCGTACAACATCAACGACTATGATGAGACCACCTTACCTGTTGCGTGGAATCCACTCGTTAGCGATCCTCCTCCAGCTTACGTCGAACACGATGGAACGGCGGCAATAGGTAATCCCACCAAGGCTCATCTCAAGCATCCCGACTTCTCCCATCAGCCTCGCCAGATGTCCCCCTCGATCCCGGACACGGAGTCCCCGTCCTTCAGCCCGCCGCCCGTCACCCCGGCAGCGTCCCACACCCTCGGCAAGCGCAAACGCTCACACGAAGACGGCTCAGCGGAGTCGCCGTCACCCTCTCTTCCCGAAGATCGGAGAAAGATCCGTTACTCACACCCACCCCGTCAAACCTCCTCCTCACTCGCCGACACCTTGCTTCCGTCCTCCATCTGCTCGCTGCCCGCCACCTTGCCCTTATCAAGCCTCCTCGGCGAGCTTCCAGCGCAAGACCGCTCCTCGCCCTTGCCTGCAGAAGAAGGCCTCCCCATTCTCCCCCACCGCCGCTTTCGCATTAGCAAACGCTCCGCCGTCGGCGCCGGTCCCAACAGTGCCCTCTTCGACACCGGCCAGTGGCATCTCTTTAACAACGCCCTGACATGGCTGACTACTGCTTGGGATGTGCTTCCTGCCGCGCATGCCGTCTTCCTGCCCGAGCTACGAACGCTGGCGCATGCGATCCGTGAGTGCGATAAGGCTACATTTAACCAGACGAGGGTCAAGTGCATGGTGGACCTGGTGCGGCGCGAGAGGGCGGCACCGTGCAGGGGAGAGGGATTGTGGGAGAGGGAGGGAGGACATGGGGAGAGAGTCGAGGAGGTGACGAGGTGGTTATATCAGCACGTAGGAGCCGAGGCGGACACGGCGGTGGTGCATGAGTTGCTCGCGTTGGATGATATGGTGAGGTTTTTGGAAATGGCGGAGAGGGGGGAGGACAGGAGGGAGGAGGAGCTTTGTAGGAGGGGGCTTGTTATTCAGATGGGAACGTGCATTATGGTCGCGCTATTTAAGACTGATTAGGTTGGGCTTGTGGATGGGCTTAGGGTGGATTCCGTGGTTGGTTGGTTGGTGGCCTGGTCTGTAGACGCAAGTCGTTCTATGTCTATTGCACAATCCGTGTAGCTTCGGTGTCTAGGAGAGAGGGAGGATATGTCTACCTACCTTGAGATTCTTCTCGCATTGTGCATACTATCAACAGCAAGGCTTCCACCTAGGAAGGAATTCTGCTTGTCAAACAGAGCGACGATAGCTCGCTCGCGCACACGTATACCAAATTTGAGTCCTCCAAGACCATACTACCGAACTTCGTTACACCTGCCGTTCGGTCCGCAATTTGATAAATTTTGCCCCTACCGACGTGAGAACCTTTCAATAGATCCAAGGCGCACATAAGACGATGTGGTGGTTGGGTCCACTTTCCATCATATGCTCAAGCATAGAACCGAAGTAATAGAAAACTCAAGTAAACCACGCAGTAATGCCCCCACGTATGTTTTGTACCGAAACTGCTTTCAAAAACATCCTATCGGCATACACTTTTCCTCACGATTGATCCAGCTCCTACCACCGAGCCTCTGCCAATGACTGCTCCGGGCAAAATTGTTACGTTCCCTCCGATAACCACATCCTCCTCGATTCGAACCTCTTCTGCACGTACCAGCATCTTACTACTCTTTCTGTCCTGCAAACTTTCGCTGTAGTCAATGGTGTAGATCTTGACGTTTGGCCCCAATATTGACCCCGACCCAATGTATACCCTCCGAGCGTTAATGATAGTGCATCTGGGTCCCACAATGACGCCATCACCAATGATGAGGTTATATCCGTAGTCGCAATGAAAGGGTGCGTTAATATGTACATCCTTGCCAAGTCGCCCTAGAAGAGTTGATTTTTCCATGGACTGGCGCCTGTCCGGTGGCTCCAGAATGTATCTGAGGAGCCGTGTTTGCTCATCTCGTCCTGCACCATTCCTGCTCGCGCAGTTGAATTCCCACAGTGCAGCCCTGCACTGCTCTTGCTCTTCGAGCAGCTGCCTCGAAAGTGGATGAAAATAGTCGCCTGAGAGCATCCTATCCTTTTCTGAATGCGGCCCGTATTGTTGCAGCTGTGGCACGTGTTGGGTTGTCGACGATTGGTGTTGCTGCTGGGCAAGCTGCGCGGTCGATGTCGTTTGCAAGGTGCCGAAAGCCCACGGCTGGTGCAACAAGGTTGCCATAGCAGTGGGGACAGACTGTCCGTATAAGCAGGGGTTTGTGGAGCTACAGTTCTGCACTTCCTTGAACAGCTCAGAGGTGGGCGCGGTTGCTAGGCTTGTATGGATATTAGGGTGTCCGGGACAGCCATGCTTCGGACGCAGTGGAGGATGGATCTCGGGCTTTCCCGGTTTTGTCCAGATCCTCTTCATCGGGTAACCCATGCAATAAAGACCTCTGATAATGCAGTTGTTGCATTCTGGCTTTGCCTCGTCGCATTTTTTCTTACGCTGTCGACAAGTCAAACATCCTGTTTTGGTTCGGTTGCAAAAATCACGCTTCCTTCTCTTCAAATTGCCCTGCACGGCCGTGTGAGCAGACTCGGTATTGCCGTCGTGGCTATTGTTGGACGAATCTAGATTTGGGCCCTTAGAAAGGTTACCCTCCTCTGAAGGGTTGATGCAGTCATGTCTCTGCTGGAAAACGTGTTGGCACCCAGTTCGGGAGGTATCGTCTTGCTTTCCGTGCCATCTACGGTGGTCCCCGCCGTTTCCTTCACATGGCTGTGCTTGTGTTTGAGATAAGCTAGCAAGGTCTTGTCTCTGAGTCAATGGTTCTTGAATGTCATTGACTATAGGCTCCTCCTTGTCGGCGTCGTCTTTTTCTTCTTTTCTGTCATGACTCGAGCTCATCAACGCTCGCTGTATGTCACACAGTGGATGAGATAAGTACAACCCAACGTTGCCGTCTTCTTCGTTGTTGTAACTGAGTAGAGGATGCTTGTAATTAGGCGCGTTTGGTATGCATGCGCCCATCTCTGAAGGATCGGGGCAGTCTGGATGCTCTGATAACGCTCTCCCGTCGGGTGGGCGGTCAGGCTCAAACTCGGGTTCAGCAAGCGAACAAGGGTGGCCGGCGTCGTTCCTGCTTAGCTTGAGGTTGTGTGTTGCTGAGGGTTCATTGATAGTCGTCCAGCCAGAAGTCGGAGCATTAGAGACGCCGTGTCTTTCATCAAGCCTGACACTGCTGCGTACGGCAGGTTCCAGTATGGTAGGCAGCATGTCGGGCAGGGGTTACTCGAAACTCGACTATGAAGCAATAGGACTTCGGGAAAAGTCGATGTCGTAGGGTTGTGGGTGTGTTTATGCGCGACGAAAGATGCAGGGAGCGAGAGAGAAGTAGCAGCGCTTAGGTATTAAACCCATTAGTAGCACAACGCTGCGCAAAGGGCTGCCCGATTTAATAAGATTGTTGCTGCCGTCTATTGTCGTGCAAGGACCTCCGTCGACACGAGTCGCCTACTGCGCCGCACGCTACCTGCCGAGTCTCCGATTACTTACGCTGATGTGGCTTGCCTGCATTCGAACAATGAAATGCTATCTTCAGGATTTTTTTGCCCACGCCTTTCGCCATATATTAGAGGAGAACAGGAATGACAGTAGCATGCGTACTATTTGCAACGATGCTGCACAACAGGTGCAACTGCGAAGGCTGGAGCGTTTAGAACTGCTGCGCCGCAGGCGACGCTGGGCGTCACCAAGGATATTGCCGAGGGAGCCGATCCAGGCTATCTGCAACCAATCACCTCCATTGTCTGTGTCGGTCGCACGGTCCAACAATGCATCTCGACCGCCCCCAATACCAACTAGTGTTACCTCGTTTCCACGTTTTTCACCATGATATAGTCCGTCTATCTCGGCAAGTAGCTACGTCGTCACTATAATACATCTTATGTGTTACGGTCGAAGTTTCAATACATTTTCAACAAGAGCAGCCTTGCGGCAGACAAAGGATCCATAAATCTGCGTGCCGAAAGCGATCAACTCGATGACAGATAAGTACATGAGTATCTATTTTGCACAATAGGATTTTGTGCTAGCACCCGCTGCGAAGGACTTGGCCCATCTCCACTCCATCTAGAAAAACACCGTTATGAAAGAGGCTCCTAGTGCTACTAGCAGCAACTGCTCCCCCATTTCGCTTACCCCTAGAAAGAACGGCGGACTGGTGCGGATGGCAACATCGGTCGCAATCACAATACAGATGAAGGCAAACACCCAAGAGAGAGCCCAAACCTTCCACAAGTGATTCATCTTGCCCTCAAAATCCCAGAGGGCAATTATGCAGGCCTGGCTGATTTCCCAAATAAAAAAGCTAAACCGTCCCAAGGTGAAGTAGATAGAGAACATCGTAATCGAAATTGTATCGGAGCGCTCTAAAGATGCATAAAATTGCTCATATAGAGGTCGCGTAAGGTGTTTCTGACCTTTCAGCTTCGGCCAAAGTAATTTGTGCGGAACAACTTACGACAAACTGGTGGAAGCTAACAAGTATGCCAAGCCAGACCAGTAGCCTTGGCCAAGGCAGCTTCGTGGGAGTGCATGGATCGAGTGGCATCTGGATTGTGGAAAGGGTAGTCTGGCCAACGGCGGTTCAGTTAGAAGATGAAGAATCTTGCATTCTTTTTGTGTGTCCGGTCAGTATCACCGCCAAGCATTCAGTAAAGGTCGGCTCGGTACTTGTTTCTAAGTTTGTACTTGCGTCGTCAGGCGAGGCGGAACTGTCACATCTGTTCTCGCTCCAATTGGTCACCCCAGATCGGATCTGTAGGGCCGCGGCTGTCACTATGTTCCACGCGCTAGCCGCCTAGTGCGGCGCAGCAGACCCTCCTTGATGTGATTGATCGACCCCTCATCCCAGTCCGACCTTCTACGCCGCACACAATCTCCGTTGACAAGGGGAGGTAGAGATGAAAAGGGCCGAATGGAATCCTTTGGAAGCCGAACTCGGTGCTTATCGGAGTTCCTAGGCAGCAAGGTCATCTCTTTGCCATACCAAGTATTTGTGGAACCGGCACTACATTGCGAATTTAACTTGCTTTGACAGCGACTAGAATCTATAAACGCATCATCGCAGCCTTTGACCTTGCAATGGCCCAGAATATGCACAAATTGTCGGCTTCTTGATGAAGTTAAGTAGCGTCGGATCAAGCTAGGCATCTATCATGTTCGAATAATGTGGGGCTCCGTATGGTCCCCGGCTCAAGGGATCCATCCAATATCACGGTCGATCGTTGTTCACGCCGCAGGCTAAGGGATTCGTGATCCCAGCAAGGATAAGTATAACATTGCGTAGCCATGCCATGGATGGCTGTCAGTGCCTGTAACTTCTCCGTTTTGACGTCGTGGATGGGCCACGTAGTAGCGCTCAGCGCTGGTTAGTGCGACACAGCAAGCCATGCTGACCAGGAATCACACCATACAAAACCGATGGTTTGGATGTGCCGTGTCAATAGCTTCGGCGTCAAAACGGAGGACTATACGAGGCCGCGGCACTCCCGTTCCAATCAGATACCTGCGTATCCGCCTTCGCGGGCTATCGCCTGGCTGCTACATACGCGTAAGCGCGCGGAAGAGGGTCTGTAGCACCAGATCGGGTTTATGTGCTCGTCTTCTCTACAATCTGATAGGTGCTTCGCAGAGCTATCTCCGGGGACGTGAGCCAATCTTGCATGGCCGCTGTGATTGTTGAAGATTCTGGTCTGCAAACCGCAAACGACAGACTTCCCTCGAGATACTCACACATGATTCTGAACCGGTACTTACCAGCTGATCCAGGAGCATCTAAATGATTTCGACGCATCCGAAGTAATTCAAGCCCTGGTGATTGAGTGAACTACTTTGTCAGTCCTGTGTCGTGTTGGTGCCGTGATTCTCAAGAGCCAAGATACTAGGGGTTTCGGTGGACTTAGGCCCATGTACCTTTGGCAAAGTCGTTTGCTGCCTAGTTGGCACATCATCGAATTGACTCAGAACGCCACACCATCCC